TTTGGAATGTTATTTGCACCTATTAGATTCCTTGAGGTCTTATTAGAAGGGTACTTGATCAATACTCATTCTACTAAGAATTCTTGGTTTCTCATGGGACGAATCTTATCACTAAATGATAATTCGTATGTATTAATGTGACTAAAGTGCTTATGTGGAGTGAATTAAATTGTTTGTGTAGTAGGATGCATGTAGTTGCTTTAGCCTAACGTGTAAAGCTAGTGACGAGCACATTTGGAATTATGTGCTAAATTATTTATCTTGTTCCTCAATTAGGACGTCAGGAAGAGTTCGAACTCGAGGTGGTAGGGGTGGAAGGCCAGGTCGAGGTCGAGGTCGCCGGGGTGTATATGCCAGTCCAAGAGGTTCCGGTAGAAGAAGAGGGTTTAGGCCAAGCTGACATGGCCGAACAAGTAGGGCACGCGGAGGTGCCAGGGCAAGCCGGCCAAGCCACAATGGGGGCTTTAGCTCGGGAAATGGCAGAGTCCATGAATATCTTGAGGGTTGAGACTCAAGCTAGGGAGAATGTAGCGGAAAAAAGGGCGAGCTTCCTTACGAGGGAGTTCCTACGGGCCAAACCGGATGAGTTTCACGGGGGCCCCGAGCCAAAGAAAGCAGGTGAATGGCTAGAACAAACAGTAAAGACTTTTGAGATGCTTCATATAGAAGATAGTGAGTTGAGAGTGACTTTTGCGAGTTACTACCTCAAAAGGGATGCAGGGCAATGGTGGAAGTAGGCCAAGGGTCGAATAGCACCAACATGGGAGGCATTTGTGGTAGCCTTCCAAGACAAGTACCTACCTCCCACTGCTAGGGAGAGGTTGAGGCAGGAGTTCAAGGACCTTGAGCAACTAAACATGTCAGTGGCCGAGTTCGAAGCGGCCTTTTCTAGCTTGTCTCGGTTTGCACCGGAATTGGTAGCAACGGAGGAGCGCCGTTGCTTTGAGTTCGAGCAGAGGTTGAGGATGAAGATTCTGTTCAAGATTACTGGGAACATGATCCGAGATTATGATCGCCTTGTGGAGGCAGCTACATATGTAGAGATTATTGTGGAGGCTGAGGAGGAGAGACTTCAAAATTCGAGGTCTAGGGGCCAAGGGTCACAGGGGGACTTTAGGCCCAACAAGAAGAGTAAGAGCACCTTTTCATCTCAGTCTCAGTTACAACTGTCTAGATCTACTTACCCCTTGTCTAGTGCGGGCCCGGGGAATAGTGCACCGAATACTACAACAAAAATAGTCTTTAGAGACGAAAACTAATGACGAAATTTTTTTTTGTCACGAAATACGTATCTTTTAATGACGAATATCATATTTCGTCTCCAAATGTACCATTTTTGGAGACAAAAATAAAATTTCGTCACGAATCTAAATCATAATAAAAAAATTAGGTGACGAAATTATTTTTCGTCATTATTTATATTTTTTTGGTCACCAAATATTTTCCCGCTAATATTTTCGGAGGGTGCCAAAATTTTGAGACTTTTGGTGACGAAAAAATTGGTCACCAATTATAAAATTATTAATGACGAATATATTTTTGTCACTAATAATTTTTAATATTTTAATATCATTTAGTGACAAAACAACTTTTGTGGCCAATATTTTTATGTTTGGTGAAGAAATAATTTTATTACCAATAAATAATTTAGTTACTAAATATTTTAGGGGGAAAAAAAAATGTTTTGGCGCCTCAAACACACACAATAATTTATCGGTTCAAACCTATTTCACACATACACACACACACATAGACGACGCCGCTGCTCACTCTCCTCATCGATTCAGACACAGATTCATCGCCGATCGGCTCACTCTGCTCACTGCCGTCACCCTCTCCTCACCACCGCTGATTTTTTAGCTTCTCCTCTCCTCACCGACCCTCGCTGCTGTGCCGATCTAGCCTCTCCTTCCCTTGCCGATCTCATCTCCTCTTCTCACCGCCGCTGATCTGTTAGCCTCTCTCTCTCTCGTTGCTCTTTTCTCTCGATGCTCTCTCTTTCTCTCTTTTCTTTTGCTACTCTGTGTTCTGTATACATTATATTGTTATACATAATATATATATATATCCTGCTCTATTTTATTTATAATTAGAATTAAGATATGAACCTTGTAATTTGATATTTTATAAAAAACAAATTTCTTCTTGGACAATATGAACCTTGTAATTTGATTAAGATACTGTAAAAGTAAATTAAAGTATTGTTTCTGGAGGGGAAAGATTTAGGTTTAATTTCTCCATCCTAATTCTTTCTTTAGTTACTTTTTTGTATACTTTCTGATTGTAATTCAAATCGGAGTTTTGGTAATGACTGAACATTTAAGATTTGTATGATTATGAACCACATGAGAAGAAAAAGACCTTTGCTGTTCAAGTAGTTATTTGAATTGCATGAAATATGATGCATTCCATTTAGCCCAATATTGAAGTTATTGACACAGTCATAATTTTCTTTTTTATTATAAATTGGGATGTAAGATTTTGAGATTAAGTAATTATCTTTTTAGTAATAAAATTCAGAGAAATATATAAAATATTATTCTTGTTTTCTTTGTGTTTTTCGTTCATTTCATACGCATCTCTACATCAGTTATAGAGTGCCTAATTTGTCATGAATTGCATTTGAAACTTAGGGATATAAGAGGCTAAGTGGAAAATAGTACAAGCTTGGATCATATAATCCCAAGGAGATGGATGAACACCAATATATATAGATATAGATATAGAGACAGACATATCAAAGGGGGTTGGGGAACAAGATTGTGTTTTTTTTTTTATTGAAGAAACATACTGTGAATTATTAATTGAGCCCAGTTTTGTTGTGCAACATAGCCAATCAGATTTGATATTGTAATGCTGAGTTCTTTGGAGTTTTCAGAACCTCATTGACATCACAAAAATTCAAATTTTTACTTATTGCATATTCCTCCATTTTCTTGACAACAATTCAACTAGGAAATTTAGTTTTGCAATAATAATACTTTTGAACTTTGTAGAATCATTCATCATTTTCTTTTTCAAATTTATGAGGCCCACATATCTAATCAAGTTTTCTTGCCCTAATTCAAAACTTCTTTACAATTTATGAGGCCCACCTATGAACCTTGTAACAAATCCTACTCTGTGTTCATATTGAATATTTTATTTATAATTAGATTCTGAATATAACTCAATAGTTGATTTGTTGTTCAGATTGTTGAATATAACTCAATGTATATATAATATAGATCATGTGCCATTATTTTATTTTTTTTAATGATTTGTTGAATATAACTCAATAGTTGAATATAACTCAATGTATATATAATATACATCATGTGCCATTATTATTTTTTTTTAATGATTTGTTGAATATAACTCAATAGTTGAATATAACTCAATGCATATATAATATACATCATGTGCCATTATTTTTTTTTTAACGATTTGTTGTATCCTATCTTTCTTCAATGTAAGTACCTTCCTTCAAATAGAAATTTAATCTGTAATTTTGTATCCTATCTTTCCCTCTTTTAAAAATTAATTTTTGGCCTTTTCTTTGCAGAAGAGACATAAGCTTGAATCACACTATTAGATCCTTCTATAGCGATCTTATTTCTTTACTGGTAAATCTTTCCATATGAAGAAGTAAGTATTGTAATGGTTCCAGTTGAGATAATAGTAGGTGCTTATATGATATGGATAATAAATTTCGATTATTCTATTTCTGTGAAGCATTACTATCCAATTATAGTTTACTCTATGGAAAATGACACTAGTAAACAAATGCCTCATTTGAATGTACAAGATATCATAATCCAAACCACCTTAGTAACGACTGCTCCCCCTATAGTAAGCAGTGGCAGCCCAATACTATCGGGGCCTTGGGTGAAATCTCAAATAGGACTCTTATATATATATATGAATAATATTTATTAATTTATTACATTGTAATTTTTTATTCTATCATTCATTTTCCTTGCATATCTATTTTAGTAATTAAGTGGTGTTTACTGTTTTCACCATAGGGATCTTTCAACGAGGAACAAATTTTTTTTATTGGGCTTTTATGTAAGAATTTGTTTTCCTTTTTCATTGGGCCTTTTGGATAAGAAGTGTTTTATTAAGTTTTTATTATTGGGCTCGTGAACAAGAAGAACTTTTACTTTGTGGCTTTAGAAGATTACCTTACTCACCTAAGGGATGTGCTGACACTAGAAGTTAACAAATGATCTAACCTCCAGGTCCCTTGAGAGACTCAAATTTGAGGTCTTGAATCTTATATTTTTAGTTTTTACCACTCGGCTAATTCCTTAGAGTAACTGAAGGTAGACTTATGTGATGATAAACAAAATGTTGTGGTTTGCCCTGCTCATCACTCATGCCTGCTCTCGTGTTTCGATTTCTTGTGTTGTGTTCATTTATGGTCCACAATCTAACTTGTTTATGTTTTCTTATGCCTTGAAAACAATGAAAGAAAGTTCCATGTCACATGGTAAAAAAATAATGTGCAATATATAACCACGAGGGTCTTCTCACCCCAAATAGATAGTTTTTGGGGTTGAGTTCTATCTAAAACAATGTAGCATGGTATCAGAGCTATAATACTGCGAGATGGGTTGGATGCTTTGGCAAGCCATATGCCATTGCCAATTCCACCATACCATCTTTGTTTAAAGAAGGTTTTATTTCTTTTTGTTCTTCTTTTATGGAATTTATTATGCATTTTAGCAAAGTGAAAACTAGCGAGGTTGCACCAAATTTGCCTTTAGAAGCTATTAAACACTTCCTATTAAATTTCTACTGCATTTGATGTTTTTCATCGTTGTCATCGTTGTTTATGTGTGAAAAAATTGTTTGACAGGGTGTAGAACAAAATCTAGACAAAAATTGCACAGGTTCTCTTTATTATCCAAAACAAGTACGATTTCTAATGTGCTTCTTTTTGTTCCTTGACTCAACTTAAAAACACAACTTTGCTTGGCATGGTTTTGACATGATTTTTTTGGCAGCGTTTATGTCCGCAGTATGCGTTAAAATACATCAGGACACCATTTTTCATCTTAAACTCAGCATATGATGTGTACCAAGTAAGATAAATTAAAGTCCTATGACATATATTTTTTCAGTGCTTCTGAGGTAATAGTGAAAAATGAGGACTACTTTCTTATCACAGTTCCATCACACATTGGTGCCACCTTCTGCTGATTTGAGTGGGCATTGGAATCATTGTAGGCTTAATCCAGTGGCATGTAATACAAACCAGACAAATATCTTGCAAGGTTATTTTTTGTCCTTACATTCTTAAATTTCAATTGCTTTCGATATTCTTTTCTAAAATTTCTTTTTTCTTTTCATTTTTATTTTTAATGATGATTATCTTCAATTTAGAGAGCATACCTCTCATATTAAATATAAAACTTTCATAAATTTTGCATGTAATTTTTAATATGTGTTATCCTTTATGATAGACATGTTTATTAAAATTTCTATTCTTCAGGGTTCTGGAAAGATATGCTTGTAGCTTTGAGTTTATTTTTTAAATACTCAAAAAGAGGAGGGATGTTCATAAACTCATGTTTTGCGCATTGCCAAAGTGAGTCACAAGATACATGGCTAACATCAGACTCCTCTAGAGTACACAATAAGGTTTACAAACTAGCCCCTTTCCTTGGTGGATATGATAGCTTTAATAAGTTGCTGTCATTTTCTAGTCGTGCTTTTCTCCTCTTTTGTATTTGTCCATTTATGAAGCACCAATGACAAGTAAATACACTTATGAAATGAATGCTCAGCTCTCAAAGTCTGATCTAAAGTTACATATCCAAAAAAAATTGTAAAACTAGATTGGTATGCGTCATAGTCATGTCAAATATTCTACAACCCATGCATAGAATGATTCAATCCTATGTGTGTACAAATTTAATTAGAAATCATAATCTATGACTGATATAATGTAATAAGTTGACAAAGCATGCCATGGTGTGGTGTTATAGTTCATGACTGAATATTACTTGTTCTATTAGCATAGAATATCTAAGGTTGCCATTTTAGTGATGTGATTAGTCCCTGCAAAAATTTATGCACCATTGACTATTATTAATATCATAGATTTCATCTATAATAATGAGTTTTAAATCTAATGAAGTTTTCATAGTGAGTAACAACCAGTCAATTTCTTACAGACCATTGCAGAAGCAGTAGGCGATTGGTACTTTGGAAGAAGGGTGACCAAGGAAATTGACTGTGCATATCCTTGTGATTCTACCTGCCATAACTTGATAGGCTGAAACCGTAAGGTTCAGTTCAGGTATTACCTTTTGATAAATGATTCAAGCTTGCTAATGATTCTCAAAAATACATTTGGAGTGCATGGACCTTGATTTTATTCATCTAATGCACAATTTTTTGAGTATATTTAAGGTCCGATCAAGGATTTAATTATTAGGTGAAAAATATGAGCAGTTCTTTTTGCGAGAATTGCTCTCTTCTCTTTCTTACAAAAAGGATACAGAGTATTTACAGATAGTTGATGAGAATCATGTTAGTATATAATGGTGTATACCATTTGTACATTTAATCAAACATAGTTCTCCTTGTGAGAATTACTAAATCCAAAAATGCACTTTTCTGCACTTTTCCACACTTAAGCTTGAATATAGGCCTTCGGGGGCCAAAATCGTGCAACAACCACGAGACGGCCCGGGGAACACCTCAAACACCTCGGGACGGACCAATGTGAGTTGTGAAAACTTACGGAACTAGCACGAGACTCCCGGTTTGAAAACTAAGTCCAAAAATGCACTTTTCCACACTTAAGCTTGAAAATAGGCCTTCGGGGGCCAAAATCGTGCAACAGCCATGAGACGGCTAGGGAAACACCTCAAACACCTCGGGACGGACCAATGTGAGTTGTGGAAACTTACGGAACTAGCACGGGACTCCCGGTTTGAAAACTAAGTCCAAATATGTACTTTTCCACACTAAAGCTTGAAAATAGGCTTTCGGGGGCCAAAATCGTGCAACAGCCACGAGACGGCCTGGGAACACCTCAAACACCTCGGGATGGACCAATGTGAGTTGTGGAAACTAACGGAATTAGCACGGGACTCCCGGTTTGAAAACTAAGTCCAAAAATGCACTTTTCCACATTTAAGCTTAAAAATAGGCCTTCGGAGGCCAAAATCGTGCAACAGCCACGAGACGGCCCTGGAAACACCTTAAACACCTCGGGACAGACCAATGTGAGTCGTGGAAACTTACGAAACTAGCACGGGACTTCCAGTTTGAAAATTAAGTCAAAAAATGCACTTTTCCACACTTAAGCTTGAAAATAGGCCTTCGGGGGCTAAAATGCAACAGTCACGAGACGGCCTGGGGAACACCTCAAACACCTCGGGACGGACCAATGTGAGTTTTGGAAACTTACGGAACTAGTACGGGACTCCCGGTTTGAAAACTAACTCCAAAAATATATTTTTTCACACTTAAGCTTGAAAATAGGCCTTCGGGGGCCAAAATCGTACAACAAAATCGTGCAACAGCCACGAGATGGCTTCGGGAACACCTCAAACACTTCGGGACAGACCAATGTGAGTTGTGAAAACTTACAGAACTAGCACGGGACTCCCAGTTTGAAAACTAAGTCCAAATATGTACTTTTTCACACTTAAGCTTGAAAATAGGCTTTCGGGGGCCAAAATCGTGCAACAGCCACGAGATGGCCTGGGGAACACCTCAAACACCTCGGGACGGACCAATGTGAGTTATGAAAACTAACGGAATTAGCACGGGACTCCCGGTTTGAAAACTAAGTCTAAAAATGCACTTTTTTACACTTAAGCTTGAAAATAGGCCTTCGGGGGCCAAAATCGTGCAATAGCCACGAGACAGCCCGGGAAACACCTCAAACATCTCGGGATGGACCAATGTGAATTTTGAAAACTTACGGAGCTAGCACAGGACTTTCGGTTTGAAAACTAAGTTCAAAAATGCAAATTTTCACACTTCAGCTTGAAAATAGGCTTTCGGGGCCAAAATCGTGCAACAGCCACTAGACGGCCCGGGAAACACTTCAAACACCTCGAGATTGACCAATGTGAGTTGTGGAAATTTACGGCACTAGCACGGGACTCCCAGTTTGAAAACTAAATCCAAAAATGCATGTTAAATTGTATATGTTATGGATAAGATAATAATTGTCTGACTGACATTTTTTTTTTTTTTGTGTTTCATTTTTTTGCAGATTCGAGATTTGATATGGACGTGTTTGGTAATTTGGAGGGCCGATGGTAGCTCATTTTGTGTTTTTGTTCATTTTACCTTACATGTATTTTGGTTGTGTTGTAAATAAATATTTTTGTTAGTATTACGGGGCATGTTTGGTAATTCGCCCTTGATATTTTATTTTTGTTGATATTAGTAGACATGTTTTTTTGATGGATATTAGGAGATGTGTTTAGTAATCTGCATACGGTTGATATTATATTTTTGTGGATATTAGTAGACTTTTTTTGTGGATATTAGGAGACATGTTTATAATCCGCATGCAGTTCATATTGTATTTTTGTTGATAGTGCTAAAATTCGATTGTGAGGTTTATGAAAATGAACAGATTTTTGTATTGATTTATAATAGATATTTTATTGAACAAGTTATTGAAATGTGCAGGGAATTGTTATTGAAAAGAAAAAAATTCGAAAGAAAATAGTACTTTCATTTTCAAAATTTTTAATTTTTATTAGTGACGAAATAAAAAATGTCGCTATTAGTTTTCAAAACACATGACGAATAATTGTCACTAATGATATAGTATGAAACAAATAATTTCGTCACATTTACTGAATATTTCGTCGCTAAATTAAAATATTTGGTGACAAAATATTTTTTGTCATTAAATAATTTTCTTTTTTGCTCATTTTAGTGACGAATTTTTTTGTCCCCTTAATCCATATCATTGGTGAGAAAAACTTTCGTCACTAAAATATATTTGGTGACGAAATATTTTGTCGCAAAAAATAATTAAAATAAAATATTATTTAGTTTTGGTGACGAAATTGGTGTTTTAGAGGACGAAAAATTCAACATTTGGAGATGAAACATTTCGTCGCCAAAAATGAAAATAAGTGACGAAATTGTTTTTCGTCACCAGGTACTTTTTGTGACGACGTATAGGCCACGGACGTGGTGACAAATTTTTTTCGTCATAGATTACTTTAGTAATGAAATTTTGATGCTTCAAGACAAAATCAATCTGTCACCAAAGGTTTTTTTTGTTGTAGTGTGGGTTTTCTTGCTTCAAGTGTAGCCAGTCGGGTCACAAGGCCTTTGCTTGTCCACAGAAGGGAGGAGGATAACAGACGTTGCCATCACCACTACCTAATCGATCTCAGAGTCAGTCTCAGAGTAGGGGTCAGGGGCCTGCTTGTTTTTAGTGCGAGCAGTCAGGGCATATGAAGAGAGCTTGCCCTCAATTGGGAGACGCGTCTGGCACATCAGGGTCTAGGCAAACACAGAGCCCCTAGCAGGCTCATTCAGCTCAGGCTTCATGAGTTCATCAGGGAGTCGTTTCAGCTCAATCAGTACAGCAGGCCTATGCTCCGAGAGATGAGTAGGTTAAGTAGAGGCCACATGGGCGCATATATGCAATTACTGCGCCAGAGCAATTGCCAGGATCCTCAGTAGTGAGAGGTATTTTTATTGTGTGTAATTCTTTGGCCAGTGTGTTTATAGATACAGGTGCGTCTCATTCATTCATATCTGCTGCATTCGCATCTGCATTGGGCCTAGAGGTGGTACAGTTAGTATCTCCACTCAAAGTTGAGTCACCAGTCGGGAGTACAGTTAACTTAGATCAGGGTTGTCGTGATTATGAGATAGAGGTTGTCGGGTGTAGACTCCCGTTTGCCTTTGTGTTGTTGGAAATGTCCAGTTTTGATGTTATTCTAGGCATGGATTGATTGTCTTCGTATCGGACAGTGATTGATTATTTTCGGCGGAGGGTCACAGTGTGCACTTCGGGTGGTGATTGTTTTTATTTTCTGGGGGACAGGGTTGATCGGTTCTTATCTCCAGTATGTGATCCTCGTAGTAGGGATGAGCTTAGTGGTCTTCTTGCTACTTTGTTGAATAATGAGAGTAGCGGGACTCGAGTTGAGTTGCCAAAGGTATTGTATGAGTATCCGGACGTGTTTCCCAAGGACCTTACTAGTTTGCCACCCCACCGAGAGATTGAGTTCACCATCGACTTAGTGCCTGGAACGGCACCGATTTCTATGGCGTCGTATAGATTTGCACCCGCGGAGTTGCATGAGTTGAAGATTCAAATCCAAGAGCTTTTAGACAAGGGCTTCATTCGCCTAGTACGTCGCGTTGGGGAGCGCCAGCCCTCTATGTGAAGAAGAATGATGGGTCATTGCGGTTGTGTATTGACTACCGTAAATTGAACCGAGTTACCGTTAAGAACAAATACCCTTTACCTAGAATAGATGATTTGTTTGATCAACTTAGAGGGCCTTGTTGCTTCTCCAAAATGGACTTGAGGTCGGGGTATCATCAATTGAGGGTCCGGGAAAAGGACATCCAGAAAACGGCATTTTGTACACGTTATGCCCACTACGAGTTCCTTGTAATGCCATTTGGGTTGACTAATGCACCGGCTTCTTTTATGGATTTGATGAACTGGATATTTAGGGAGTATTTGGATCGTTTTGTGGTCGTCTTTGTGGATCACATCTTAATCTATTCGACTTTCGGGGAGGAATAGGAGACTCACTTAAGGATAGTGCTTGACTTACTTAGGGAGCATCAGTTATATGCCAAATTTGAGAAGTGTGAATTTTGGCTCATCGAGGTGAAGTTTTGGGCCATGTTGTGTCAAGGGAGGGGGTAACCGTAGATTCTTCAAAGATAGATTCTGTACAAGATTGGGAGCAACCTAAGAATGTCTTTGAGATCTGGAGTTTCTTGGGATTGGCAGGGTACTATCGGCGTTTTGTGAGGGACTTCTCTAAATTAGCCGCACCTTTGACTAGGTTGACTAGAAAGGGGGTTAAGTTTGTATGGAGTGAAGCTTGTGAAAAATCCTTCAAAGAACTAAAAACTAGATTGACTACGACACCTGTGTTAATAATTCTGGAGAGAGGTTTGGGTTACACCGTCTTTTATGATGTGTCTCGGGGTGGGCTTGGTTGTGTTTTGATACAAGAGGGAAAGGTTGTAGCATATGGTTCACGGCAATTGAAAACACATGAGAAGAATTACCCTACCCACGACTTAGAGCTAGCCGCTGTAGTTTTTGCCTTGAAAATTTGGAGGCATTATTTGTGTAGTGAGAAGTTTGAGGTTTTCTCTGACCATAAGAGTCTGAAATATTTGTTTTTCCAAAAAGATTTGAACTTACATCAACGGAGGTGGATAGCGTTTTTAGAAGATTACGATTTTGAGCTACACTACCATCCGGGGAAAGCCAATGTAGTGGCCGATGCCTTGAGCAGAAAAATTATGAGTAGTTTGGCGAGTGTGGCCATTCGAGAGTGGGGTATGTTGGGTGAAGTCGGCAAGTTTGAGTTACAATTGAGGGAGTCCGAAGAGGGCGCAACATTGTTTAT